CGCTAGATAAGAACTTTGGAGTGATTCTTCATCACACGTTAAGGGATGGTTATATGATCCAATTAAATTAGCATTGTTGAGAGATTGCACTAGCGAAAGTACGGACCCTAGGCCTCATTTTCAAGCATTGCAATACCGTTTGTGTTCAATTTTATCAATTGCTACCTTGTTGTTTTTTATTGTTGCTATTACAAAAATCAATATCTACTATCATTAGTCCACTTGTATCACCATCTCTTCGCCGAACTAGTGCACCTATACAATTTACTATTGTATTTGGTGTGTTGGGGACACAAGAGACTTTTCATTATTTGGTTGCAGGGTTGTTTGAGAGACACCATCTTCATCCTACGCCTCCCACAGATTGATAAACTTAGGTTATCCACTTGTGGGAAATTTGCTACTGTCCTAGAGAACCCTGTGCTTGGAGGCCCAACACGAGTCTACAAGAATAAGTTTTGTAGTAGACATCATATATATGATTTTTTACGCAAGAATCAATGCAAGATAAGGCCCATGGGCTCCACAAGCCAGGGGGTGTGCCCACCCATACAGTGCGCCGGGGTGACTTGTGGATAGACCACGAAGCTTCTGGCTCTTTCCTTCGGGCCCAAGGAATCTTATGTTGGGGATAAAATCGTGTTAAAACTTCTGCCTGTTCGTAGTTACGTAAGAGCATCTACCGCCGGAACACTCAAAGCCGCCTCATACGCCCGGGCGGGCTGCCCGATCATGTTTTTTCAACCTAGACGGACGCCTCAAACGGGACTCAAACTCCCAGACTGACCGGCACCCCCCATATCCAGCCCAAATATGGGGCTGATATGGGGTGGCCCGGGCACGCCCGGACGAGTCCACCTGACAAGCCCGACCCACCACCAATTCCACGGATGTCCCCCAAAAAACCCAATCGGCCTCGTCAGTCTGAAACCCTAGGTCACTCCACTATCCTCTCTCGCTCCGTCCTCTCCTCTCCCCTTCCCGATTCCAATCGAATCCGGCGCAATGTCGAGCTCCGGCAGCCGCTCCGACGACGAGGTGGATCCAGAATATGAGCTTGCCCTCCGCATGGCCTTGGAGCGGTCCAAGGTGGAGACCAGAGGCAGCTCCGGATCTACACCCTGGTCGCAGCCGCCGCTTCCCCGTCGACGCATCTCATACACCGGCGCTGGGCCCTCCTGGCCATGGGCAGCTTCGACAGGCGGCTAGCGCCAATCGGCGCCTTCCCTATGTCGTCCCCTCGCACCGCCAGTTACTGCTTCCCCATGCCGTCCCCTCGCCCCGTAGCTGCTGCTCCCCCTCATGGGCAGCGGTGGGTTCTTGTGCCCGCCCCGCCTGCCCGGACACGCACACCGGAGTCGGAGGCACGCGCCGCCCGCTGCGAGAGGCAGCTGGCAAGGGAGAGGGAGACTGTGGAGAGCTCTGTCCTCCACCAGTGTGGGTTACCGGCGGAGCCCAATGAGGACCTGTGACTCCTCGCGTGGGTCTACCGCCGGTGGCTTACGACGGCGGAGACGGACGCTCGATGGCTCTGCTAGAAGAACGCCAAGGCTCTTTGGCTTGCCATCGAGCAGTCTGAGCGGGAGGCATCGGAGAAGGCGAAGGAGGCGGCTCGGCTGGCCAAGCTCAGGCGCTAGTAGGATTGGGCCATCCAACGCCTCAAGGGCCTCGTCATCGTCGACTCCTCCTCCGACGAATTGGACGATCCTCCACCAGCCGCCGACGGGTACAGCTACGCTGACGACCAGAAGGGGAAAGGGCCGGTCCGGAAGTGGAAGTTGATTTTAATTTCAAGTTTTAGACGTAGTATAAAGTTTAGTTGTTTATGTGAACTTTGGTGGATCTTTTGTTTAACTATTTTGCAATTTCTATGTCCGGAGTTGATCTACGTAGTTTCATCAATGTTGCATGATATAGTTTGGATATATGGGTTCGGAAATGAGAGACACGGATGTGAACGACGCAATTTGAGGAGTGCCTGATCATTGTCCGCAGACGCGTCCGCGGGCATTTGAGGGTCCGGATTTTCCAATTCCGGTTGTAGATGCTCTAACTCCATCTAGTTAAGAAACGGTGCTGGGCCTCAGAAAAAGAACCGAAAACAAAGATAAGCCCTAGAGAGAAAGAAGAGGAGAGATCCAATCTCGGAGAAGCTCCCGCCCCTCAGGGGCCATGAAGGCCAAGGACCAGAGGGGGGCTTCTCCCATCTAGGGGGGAGGCCAAGCAAGAGGAAGAAGGAGGGGCCCTCTCCTCCTCTCTCCCGGTGGCATCGGAGCGGCATCGGGGGAATCCTCGTGATGGTTATGTACTCCAACAACTTCCCCGCCGTCATCACCAACTTTCTCCCCCTCTATGAAGTGGTGAAACCTCTCTCACCCTGCTATAAATCACTACTTGAACATAGTGCTCTATGCTATATATTATTATCTAATGATGTATTGCACCTCCATGATCTTTGCGTAGATTCATTTCGTCTCGTGGGTCAATTGTGGTATGGTATGGTTGATATGAGTTACATTTTATTATGGTGTTGTCCTATGGTGCCCTCCGTGTCGCACAAGCATGTGGGATCCCCACTGTAGAGTGTTGCAATATGTTAATTATTTGCTAATAGTGGGTTGCGGGAGCGACATAAACCTAAACCCGAGTTCGTGAGTTGTTGCATGTGGGATTAAAGGGGACTTTTTACTAAATGCTATGGTTGGGTTTTACCTTAGTGAAGCTTTGGTAGTTGCAGATGATGTTACTAGAGTTTCAATCATAAAAATATATGATCCAAGTACAAAAAGTATGTTAGCTTGAGCCTCTCCCTCACATCATATGATAAGTATCACTATATGTCATATTCAATTACCTAGGGACAATCTTTTTCTCATTGTTCTAAAAAACCTTTATTTATTGTTCCTTTATTAAAACGGCACCTAACTTTTATTTACATGTTCTTTGTTATCTTTCAAACCTATCCCATTACGCCTACAAAGTAGTTTTATTTCTTGTTGTAGGTAAAGTGAGCGTTAGCGTACGTAGAGTTGTATCGGTGGTCGATAGAAGGTGAGAAAATATTAATTCTACCTTTAGCTCCTCGTTGGTTTCGACACTCTTATTTATCAAAAATGCTACAACTGACCCCCAATACTTGTGGGTTATCAAGACCTTTTCCGACGCCGTTGTCGGGGAACAATAGTGTGGGATGAGTACTCTCGTGTTCGCTTGTTTGCTTTATCTCTAAGTAATTTTTATTTTTTGTTCTAAATGGTTTTATATCTTGTTATGGGTATGTAACATAAAACACCAAATTGTACTTGCTACTCATGAAGATGGGGAATCTCCTAAAATCCTGGATGCCGGTTATGTGTGGAATATTGAATATTTCTTCAATAACCCCAATAAATCCCTGCTCAACGTGATAATTTGATACACTTTGGATTGGTGTGAATACTTTAGTGATTATCGCATGTCTCAAAAGGGAAAACACTTACATGATCAAATAAAAATGTTACAATTGTATGCTTGGAATATGTGCTCTATGTAAGATTATACTTGTTGTTCCAGGATGGAGTCTCCACACCTTCCCTTTCAATGTGAATTTAATGATAATGAAACCTTGATTTCTTATGATAATGGTGTATATGATTACTATGATGTGGAGCAAATAGAAGAATTTGTTGCTTTCAAAGGTACTTATGAAATTGCTTCTTTGCTTGAAAAGTATGAAAAGTGTGATGATGCTATTTACAAATCTAAAAATCTTGCCATACTTCAATATTGTTATGGAAATTATAATACAATGCTCATGTTAATGAATCTATTGAGAGAATGTTTGCTGCCCTGGAAGAGAGTAATATTTTGCAGGAGTTTACGGAAAATGAAATTGTTGAAACTATGAGCTCACTAGATGAAAAAGATGAGGGGGGCGAAGAACAAAAGGAGAAAAAACGGATTGATCACTTGTGCCCACACCTTCTAATGAGAGTAACATTTTAACTCGCAACTTGTTTAAATTCCCTTTATGCTTACCGGAGGATGATTGCTACGATGTATGCTATGATTCCTTGGATTCTTTTAAAATATCCCTTTTTGATGAACTTGATGCTTTCTATAATTATGGCCACGATGCCACTATGAATGATACTTACTATAATTCCTTATGTTAAGAATGAAATTGTTACTATTGCATCCACACATGATAGTCATATTATCTTTTTGAATTCTCCAAACTACACTATATCGGTTATCGGAGAAGTTTGCACCTATTAAGGATTATATTGATGGATTGCGTTTTACCATTGCACATGATGATTTAATCGACATAATATGCATGTGTTTGCTACTTCTACATGCAAGGAGAGAGAGCATGGTGTTCCTTTGGCCATTGACTGTGGCGAGCTGGGGCAGCCACTGCTTGTTGATGTAGGCGGGTTGTTGGTTGCCTTTGTCTCCGATAGCATCTCCAAGCCACTCCTTACGTGACAGCCTGCAGGTCCGAGACAAGTCAACGACACCATGTTGACATGAATTTTGCAGCTAAAGTTGAAGGCTACGTCCGCAGCTATTTGCCACCGTGCACTGCAGCTAACAGGTCGTCACGATCAGTCGTTGCGGCGTGCAGCGGTATCCATTTTCGTCTGCTCCAAGAATTAGAAAAAGGAGCCGCCTCAGGTTTCGGCTAAACGGCGGCAAAGAAACGATGTGCGGCCTCCGTTCAAATAAGAGAAAACGATGTGCCGCCTCCGTCCAGCGAGTATTCGGTCCTTTGATCCATTCCCTGGTGGCTGGCCCCCACAATGCCGACCTGTATATAAACCCAGTGGTGGTAACCTCATACCGTCCAACCCAAATCCAAATCCAACGTCCGTCCGCCGCTGAAAACACCCCTCTCAGTCCCACCTGCAGCCTTCCTCCCCTTGTTTCCACTCCGCCTTGGATCGATCCATCCATCGAGCCTTCTCCAGTTAGCCTTTCCCGCCACCTAAAAAGGCACCCGAGGTCGCCGTCCATCCATGTGCGGCGGCGCCATCATCTACGACTACATCCCGGCGCACCGCCGCCGGGTGTCCACCGCCGACTTCTGGCCCGACGCCGACCATTCCGACGCCTACAGCGCCGCCCCCGACAAAGGTAAACTACGTGCGCCCTCACCTCACAAATATTCCCTTTGGCAACGGCGTCCGTGTGCAGGAGTAAAACTCGTTGTTCTGGTTGCAGCGCCGCGCGCGAAGCGAGGGCGGACGAACCAGTACCGCGGCATCCGGCAGCGGCCGTGGGGGAAGTGGGCGGCGGAGATCCGCGACCCCGTCAAGGGCGTCCGCGTCTGGCTCGGCACCTACCCCACCGCCGAGGCCGCCGCGCGCGCCTACGACCGCGCCGCGCGCCGCATCAGGGGCGCCAAGGCCAAGGTCAACTTCCCCAACGAAATCCTCGTCAGCGCGCCCGCGCACGAGGCCTCGTGCACGATGGCGGCTGCTCCGCCGGCGGCCGTGCTCCCATCCCCCAAGAAGGAGGAGGAGGGGGAGGGGTTGGAGCCCGCGGCGTGCTCCTGCGAGGAGGTGAAGGCGCTCTCCGAGGAGCTGATGGCGTACGAGAACTACATGAGCTTCCTCGGGGTCCCCTACATGGAGGGCGGGGCCGCGGCCGCCCCTGCCGCCGAGGAGGCGCCGGCCGAGCTATGGAGCTTCGAGGACAGCTACTACCCGGGGCCTCTTGGGCTCTGATTGTACCGTGCTCGTGTCAGTTGCTGAAAACAGAGTCGATATTTTCCCTTCTGTTCTGTTGAATTCATTTTTAGCTCTGGTAAAATGCCTCAACGTAACTTCTACAAGTTTTCCGTCCGTGTGAAGTAACCTTGTGTTCAGTTTTCAATTGGCAACTGTGGTGGATGCCCCAATGTAATCGCACAAGTTTTCCATGTAAATAGAGGAATGTTTAATCCACTCCGTGTTGCACTAATGAGACTGTTGTTTCTTTCTGGCTCGAAGGTGTTGCAGATTGAGCAAGTACTATCAATGATCCGCGTGCCGGGCAGACTTGTGGGAGCCCCCCAACTCTGACGTTTTAGAGCAGAAAAACACACCCACCCACCAGACCAACACAGTATAAGATAAACGAAACTACTTCACGGACAATTTTTTCTGAACGACACCTGCACGATAGCTAATCTTAGCGCCTACGGCTGTTCAGACTTGCCAATGGATGGTGCGATACGCCATGTCGTGCCAACTTCGGACGGCAAACATCGTCTGTGTAGCAATGCTCCGAGATAAAAAAGACACGCTCTGACGTTCGTGGTGCATGCCTTGACACACGGCATGATCGAGCCTCGCTGCCGCCGGCATATGTACAGCAGGCCGTGACGAGACGACCGCTTTCAACTCGACGGCTGCTCTGTTGAGCTTGAGCCCCGAGGAGCAGGAGCAGAGCCGCCGTTTTTCACTCGCCTGTAGCGTTATTTGCCGTCGTGCTTCACCGAGTACACGGTACTAGAACAGTACGACACATTTGACTCGTGTTCGTGTTCGGTTCTTGCGCTTTGCTTGCAGTTTTTTTTTTGGCCGAAGAGGATAGCCGCTTCCTGTGGGCCGACAATACCGGCGGCAGCCCCTTGTTTCCAGCCCATTTAACACGGTTTTCGGAACCTTCTCATCCGGTTTCCAAGTCGTGGGAACGTTCTTTCATTTCATGTAACATTGTCCATCAGCACTCAAAAAAAAAATGTAACTTTGTCCATGAGTCAAGAGACTTGAACTTTGAAACGCGTGCTCCAACTAATCTAATTCACGAATAAACAGTAAACATGGCAAATACGGTATGCATCTCATACCGAAACATAAGCCTGTGAGCACGTACAGTACATAGAACCGAAACATCTACGAACAGTATATATATACGGCCAGCACATGTACGAGGAAATAGGGGATGAACAAGTTATACCCTCCGGTTGGCCAGGCCAACGCGGCGGCGGCGGCAGCAGCCTCGACATCTGTCGAGGCCTTCTTCTTGGCGGCTTCGTCGTCAGCCATGGAGTCGATGCAGGGGAAGTAGTGGAAGTAGAGCCAGACGGGGACGGAGGCGGGGACGGATCGGGACCAGTCGTGTCGAGACGCTCCCCAAAAACCTTATTGCCGTTCTCCCGGGCATGATCTCGAACGACAGGGTTCCGGAGGCACCTGCTCTCCCGACCAACCGTGCACGCAGTCATCGGGATGGGATCGCCGAAAGCAGCATAGTGAGAGGAACAGCAGATGACATCTAGGGTTGTGCGAAAGGGAGCGAGTGAACTGAGTTAGGGTTCACTCCACTGGCCATCGCCTTCTTATATAGGCCGTGGGGTAGATGGTCCTGGGCTCAGGCCCACGACCGAGTCCGCGAATGGCCCACGGTCCAACGTCTCGGACAGTGGCACTTCCGTAAGCGACTCGTTAATTAATCCAAGATTAATTAACCATTCCTGACCGGCAAAAATAAGCTTCGTCTCGACTCATTCCTGCAACCCGTGGCTCGTACGCGTATCGTGACGAGGCGAGGCAAGGCGGCCAGCGGAGGAGGAGGAGGAGCGCACGTGTACAACTCTTATTCCCAAGCTCCCAATAGCAAGTGGTAGAGCAGCCCTTATAAAAAGGTCTCACTCTTCTTACTATAGCAGTATGGTACTAAACTTCCCACCAAACTTCCCACCACTTGTCGTACACATGCATGGGCCTTAGAGATTAACCAGGGATTATTGTCTTATATGGGCCTAAGCCCATCCCCATCAAATCTCGAGGCACATAAGTTTGTCAACTATTCCAAACAATGTTTGATATACCAGAATTTTCAGTGGAGACTATTAAGTTGAACTTCCACCTAGAGCAATAGGATTAGACTTCTTCACAACTGAACACTGGATTATGCCTTGAATTGTCAGTTTGGTGTGCAAAAGTTTCGCCTATTGTCAGCTAATACGTGGCTGCCGAAGGCTAAACCCCATGGGTGGAGCTTATTAGTCATACTTCGTACCTTCATGAGCTTCCTAGAGATCATCCAATCTCATAGACTGTGACCAGCAGTCGGGCTCACATAGGTGTGTTCTGTTGGGGAACGTGGTAATTTAAAAAAATCCTATGATCACGCAAGATCTATCTAGGTGATGTATAGCAATGAGAGGGGAGAGTGTGTCCACGTACCCTCGTAGACCGAAAGCGGAAGCGTTTCAATAACACGGTTGATGTAGTCGAACTTCTTCGCGATCCAACCGATCAAGTACCAAACATATGGCACCTCCGCGTTCAGCACACGTTCAGCTTGATGACGTCCCTCGTGCTCTTGATCCAGTTGAGGACGAGGATGAGTTCCGTCAGTACGATGGCGCGACGACAGTGATGATGATGTTACAGGCCCAGGGCTTCGCCTAAGCACTAGAATGGTATGATCGAGGTGTGTAACTGTGGAGGGGGGCACCCCACATGGTTAGGAGAAACTTGTGTGTTCTAGGGTCCCCCCTGCCCCTGTATATAAAGGAGCAAGGGGGAGTGAGGGAGTCCTGGATTTAGGGGTCCTCGGAAGCCGGACTATATACATGTGTCGGACTGTTGGGCTATGAAGATACAAGATAGAAGACTTTGTCCCGTGTTCGGATGGGACCCTCCTTTGCGTGGAAGGCAAGCTTGGTGATTCGGATATATAGATTCCTTTCTGTGTAGCCGACTTTGTGTAACCCTAGCCCCTCGGTGTCTATATAAACCGGAGGGTTTAGTCCGTAGGACATGAACAATCATAATCACAGGCTAGCTTCTAGGGTTTAGCCATTACGATCTCGTGGTAGATCAACTATTGTAATACTCATATTCATCAAGATCAATCAAGCAGGAAGTAGGGTATTACCTCCATAGAGAGGGCCCGAACCTGGGTAAACATTTTGTCCCTCGCCTCCTGTTACCATCAGCCTTAGATGCATAGTTCGACACCTCCTACCCGAGATCCGCCTGTTTTGACACCGACATTGGTGCTTTCATTGAGATTCCACTGTGACGTCGAAGATAGGATTGATGGCCCGCCTTGTTATCAAGGACAACATCACCTCCGGAGGAGCCCTGGCCTCAGGCCAAACCCTCCGGCTGGGCGGCTTCACCATGACCGCCCGTTCGGCCATCGGGCCGACGATGACTTCTCGGGTCTTCGAAAATCGCCTCTGCATCAGCTCAGAATACTCCGAACAGATGGATCCAACGGAGTTATCGTCCTTAAACAAACTCCTAGATCGCATCGCCGCCTTGGGAGTCGCTACAGACTACGATTGGATTGGGCTTAAACCCGATCAGAGAGAAATTGAATCTCTGTCGATCACCCATCAGATAGCAGTAGTGGAGGAGCAATGCCACAACCCTTCCTCTATATTGAGGACAAACTATGTCCGGATTTCTGAGCTCACTAAGCCCGATACCCGCCCACGGAAAGACGCGACTCGTACTCTAAACCTAGAGTCGGACCATGGGCCAGAAAAATTGGTCGATATCCCAGAGCTCGAACCGTTAAGCTCGAAAATTCCTCAAGCTCTGAATCCCAGATTGGGCCAGGGTTCAGATTTAAATCGGCCCACCCACCTAGATACAAGCGATCTTACCCGCATCAGATAGCAGTCCCAAGAGACGGTCCATCACTTTTGGGCCAAATTCCTCCTTGTCAAGGACAAGATCAAAGACTGCCACGATGAAGACGCAATCTCATTATTATGCAAAAATTGCATGGACGAGGGAATCCTCAATGCCATAAGCCGCCGTCACATACCACACTTCACTGACTTGGCCACCATAGTACAGAAGTACTGCGCAATTGAAAGCGCCTGGAAAACTCAGGCAGCCTCTTGGGAGCCATCGGTTTCCACTTGTAACGCCCGGATAATTAGGCTACAGTAAAACTCTCCTAATGATGCCATGGCATCTCTGTTACTGTTGCTAATCAAATGTTAGTTCAAAACATTTCAAATTCAAAAATGAATTAGTGACAAACACCCAAAGTTTTCAAAAGTTGAAACAAAAGTGTTCGGACAGTGCCAAATATGGCATAGGTAATTATGGTGTAGAAGACACAATTTTATAAAATATTTAAATGCAAAAATTAAATAGAACAGAAAACAAAGCTCAAAAGAAAAGGAAAATAAAAGGAAAAAGAACAAACCCCCCTTCCCCCTGGGCCGAAAGGCCTAGCTAGCCAACAGCCAGCCACCCAACCGGCCTTGCCGGCCCAGCTCCCCGCAGCGCGCCCTCTTCCTGTTCCTCGGTTGCATGCCGCTATAGGGCGCGGTCGCCACCGGACCCCCTCGCCGACGTCGAGGAGGAGATAAGATCGCCAGCGCCCCCGCCTCCTCGGGCCCCTCTCCCACTCACCCCGCTCTCCTCCCAGATCTCCGCCTCTCCCTCTCCCCTCAGATCCACCTCGCTCTCCCCCTTGCTCCCCACCGCATCCGAGTGCCGTCATGGCCTCGCCGCCATAGAACTCGCGGCCACCGTGACCTCCGCACCTCTCCGACGTGTCCGCTCGCTCCACCTCCCTCGACTACGCCTCCCCGACGAGCCGCAGGACGCCGGGCGCCCACGAACGTTGCCTCGGCCTCGTCTTCTTCCTTGGATCCCCAGCGCGTCTCCGACGAGCGCTATCGACTCTGCAGCTACTAAACCCCCAAGGGCCTTTCGTGTGTGCCGCTCGGTAAGCTCCACCCCTCCCGCTGTCCGTTTGCTCT